CTGTCTGTTTTTAAATCACCTCTTAAAACGCATTTGTATTCACGGGCCTTTGACAATTTTATTGATTGACATATTTGTTTTGTCTATGTATTTTTTCTTGTTATTTTACTGTATTGATGTGTTTTATCTGGTCTTAGGTATTTTTATTATTATTTATTATTTGTTTATGTTTTATTGGAAAGCACCTTGTAATGCAGGCTTAGAAAGGTGCTATATAAATAAACTTTGCTTGCTTGCTTGCTTGCTGTTGCAGAGATCCAGAATAAACACTCTGGATACACATGGATGGCATCAGTGATGGTACACTGCCCCAGTGACGCTGTGGATATCTGAAGTGGGGATTTTGACTAGGAAGAACTGACTTGCAGATATCTATAATATAAGTCTGGTGATTAAATGTTATAAAGGCTGGACATGGAGAGACACACACACATACTGCCCTCATTATGAAAAAAGGGGTGGCAAAAAAAAAAATAGGTGGGTTTCTTTAAAATAAAGAATGCAAAGTCACAAATTCACTAAATAGGTTTAATTTTGACAGATGTTGCTGTTTGCAATTTAGCTAATCAATGAAAATGTTGATTTTTCTAAAAACCAACTAGTTGTTTGAGATGCCTTATTTTTCTCTTTTGGAGATTTTCCTCCCTGCTGTCGCCTAGTGCTGCTCAAGGGGATTTGTTGCGTTTTTCCTCTATAATAATAACAGGAAAGTCTAGCTCTTACTTTGTAAAGTGTCCTGAGACGACTTTTGTTGTAACATTTAATTGAAATGTTGTATATTTACTACTGCTCTTTAAAAAGCCAAGCTGTTTATCACATAACTGGATGGAATAACAGGTAGAAACCTTGACTGCTAAAATAACCGATCACTGCAGCTCTAGTGAGCAGACAGACCGGGTCTCACCTCCTCTGTATCTCTGCTGTTGTCTGTAGGAGTGTGCTTCTGGCAGTAAGGGCCCTTCTTCCAGGCTTCAGTGTCTCCACAGTCACAGAAACCTCCACCTCCTGACGTGGTCATCTACAACACACACACCATATTAGTTCATTACTATGCTTGTGCGGACCTTGTTAACATAATGCTTTCCCTGACCTTCAGTCACCAATACACAATGAAATGTCCCAGTGAACAGATGCGCGTTTCTATGGGAGCTCAGCATTCAGGTTAAATAATGTCTGACCCATCATTTTGCCCCAGACAGGAATATCAGGCCATGCTGTCGGAAATCTTCAGAACAAGCGACGCCATTTTCCAACCCGGTAAAATATATCCACAGTCGAAAAATTCAGCTTTTAGAGTGGCACTGGTGGATGTCAGGCAAGCTCATATGAATGCGCAACAGCCTGGAGATTATGCCCATTCAAGGAAGTCCTTAAACTATCATGTAAAACTTTACATTGTTGGAGTTTGCTAGATGTGTATAAACCGAGCTGCTTCTGCACAGAAATACTAGAACATACGTACACCTCATTTTTTGAGCTTTAGGTCACGTCTTTGCAGATAAGTCAGAAAACCAGGAAATGCTTAACGGGCCCTTTAAATTAGATAGTTATGCTTAGGAAAAATGGTCGTTTCACCCCAAAGATAACATTTTGGAATGGTTCAACCCCTTTGTTAAGAATTAGTTTGTTTCAAACCATGTATTTGATTAAAATAAAAACAGGATCATTTGAATTTTGGGGAAAGCAATTGTTTCTCCCCACTGTATGGGTTAGTGTAGTGTTCTCTCTCAAAATAAGATAGATAAAATAATCCTATTGTCACTGTAATACATACAACGAAATTTTTAGAGTGACCTCCAGTCGGTGCAGCAATAGAAAAAAAAAAAACATAACATATGAAATAAACCCCCCCACAAGCATATTATAGTTTAGCAGCATTGAGTGTGGTAACTGCTGTTGGGTAAAAACTATTCCCGAATCTAGTGGTCCTTGATTTGATTGCTCTGAACCGTCTACCTGACGGCAGCAGTTCAAAGAGTGAACGTCCTTTGGGTGTGACATTAATGATGTTCTGAGCTTTTTTGAGGCAGTGGGAACCGTGTAGTTCTTCCAGAGTGAGGAGAGGGCAGCCGACAATCTCCTGGGCCGTATTAATAACCCTCTGCAGCATTTTCCTCTGAGCCACTGTGCTGATGCTGTACCATACACATATACAGTATGTAAGGATTCTCCCAATGGAGCAGCGATAGAAGGACACCAGCAGTCTCTTCCTGAGCACCCATGGAAGTACAGTCTCTGCTGGCCCTTTTTAAGCAGATTAGAGGTATTCACGCCCCAGGTAAGATCCTCTTTAATGTGGACTCCCAAAAAGTGGAAGGACAGCACCCTCTCCACATGGTCCCCGCTGATAATACAGTGGCAAGATGTTTTCTTCCATAGTAGTGTAAAAACAAATTAATTCTCTTTTCAGAATTGTTGTAATCAAACATTAAACAAAATGAATTTTTTGGCGACAGTGGTGCAGTGGGTAGAGCAGTAGCCTCCCAACTGGAAGGTAGAGGGTTCGCATCTCGGTGTCTGCAGTCTACATGTCGAAGTGTCCTTTGGCAAGACACTGAACCCCCAAGTTGCCGTTGATGGCTGTGCGTATGCATGCAGTGGCCCGGGGCCCGTGTCACAATGTTACAATGACAATAAAATAATAAATAAATAAATGAATAAATAAAGCTTCTTCTTTAACTGGCAACAGCTTCTTTAACAGGCATGCAAATACTGTACATTTGTACTTTTAAGTAAAATGTGGAACGTGATTTTATACATAGAGCATTTGACTATGGTATTCGTAATCATATAATCTGTGCGTGGTTAATTCTCCTGTTTTGCCTCTTTATTAATACAAAAACACCGTTACTAAAGACACATTCTAGTGTCTTTATTATGTTTTCTCTCATCAGTTCAAATACTAGGAGTATTTGTGTTTGTTCAGATGCATTTGATGTAATGAGGGAATCCTAAATCAGATGTAGCTACGGTACATACTGTATGTTCCCTACAGTAACAAGATATTTTTCACAGCCTGTGTTCAGGGGCGCTCATGGGTAAGTCGAACAAGTGATGAGGCGAAAGCACGAGAGAAAGAGAGATTCTTCAACTAACTTGTTTATAGATGGACCTGATTCTATATATTTTCCCATCCAGACAATTATATCTATGGAGACAGTGTAAACAGCGGTATGTTTTTCTTTACAGGGAGGTATTTGAAGAAATTTTGTTATTTTAACAGGGGGAGTGCAAAAGGAACTGTACTGTGCCAAAAGAAAGTCCTACGTCAACAGTGTCCAGAAGCACAGTCGACTGCTCTGGGCTCAGAGGCATCTGGACCATCACACAGTGGGAACGTGTAATGTGGTCAGACAAAGAATGGATGCCATGTGCTCCGGACCAAAGACGAAAAGGACCATCCAGACTGTTACCAGCAACAGGTCCAAAAGCCAGGGTCCGTCTTGGTCTGGGTTTGTGTCAGTGCCCTTGGTAAAGTTCACTTACACTTCTGTGATGGCTCCATTAGGCAGGCCTTAGGCTACAGAATACAGATGACGTCACAGGGTCATAAATCTTCACTTCATATCTCAATTTGACAGGAGGTATACTTTTATACTCTCTACTAAATACTGATACTACAGGCAGAAAACACACAACAGCATCACCTCCTCCCGACTGGAATCAGTGGTCTACAACACTGACAAACACACACTGTTACTTGCCAATGAGACATCCTGTGCAGACGCCTGCATGTTGCCCATAGTCCAGAGTGACTGCCTGTGCCCTAAGCACGCAGTGTAAACCCAGGTGCTCTTGTATCTCACATCAGCACAGGTAACTAGCAGGTGTGTCTGTCAGCTGTGTGGTGTCTATACACCTGTAGTTAGTGGGGTCTGTGTGTGCCTGTCAGCAGGTGTGTGTGTGTGTTTCACAGCTGCAGTGTGTACTCACCCTGTATCGGTGGTTTTTGTGAACGCTGCCCAGGAAACACTGCATGCACAGAACACAGGTCGGATCAGCTGCACACTCCCTAAATATGCACACAAACAGATCTTGCTTAACACCTGAAGAGTGTGTGTGTACAGTCTGTGTTCAAGCTGTTTCAGAGAGCTGTTGATGCATCTCCTTGTTGACCTGTATTGTGTTACACGGACAGTTGTTATATATTATTCATGAACTGTTAATGAGAACATGTAGGGACCATTTTTGTATTTTGGACACTGAAAAGTCTATGTAAAAAAGGCCTAAATCACCTTAATTCTTGTAATTAAAATAGCAGCATTTACTACAAGGACATTAAGTAGGCCTAGCCTTTATTATTATATGTGCCAGGCAAAATTAAATATGAATTGCAAAGGTACCTGAGGGTGGTTGGACATTTGACCAATCATAGTATTTTAGTAACGTGACATCACAGCTTGGGCTAAGCCATAATTTCACCGGCTTTCATTTGTTTGAGGAACATCTACAGGTGTTGGAGCTTAGTTGTTCCACATTATGGCAATTCACCTAAACCAGGGGTGGCCAATTCCAGTCCTCGAGGACCGCGGTCCTGCTTGTTTTCTTCCAGCTTCTGACTGACTAAACACACCTGTGCCAGGTAATCAGCAGCAGGTCAGGCAGGGATAGTTGGAAAACAAGCAGGACAGCGGCCCCGAAAGACTGAAATTGGCCACCCCTGACCTAAGCATAGCACAAGTTAAAATGCCGATGATGACTGAACATGAATGGATACCTACTATAGGTTACTGTTACTACCGTTGCCATCTTTAGAGGAAGATGGTGGTGTGAACGAACGCAGCAGCCCCTCTCTTTTCGAGTTGTGTGCCTAAAAATGTGTGTTATAGTGCATGTTTGCGTTTGTCGTGTTTATGTTCTGGTGCCTGTAGTTCAATCTATCCAGCTAGCCAGGCTAACATGCTACTGAGCCGACCGAGTCCTTGTGGTAGGAGGTAAAACATGGGGAGGGGGAGTTTGTGTTTACATCAGCGATGTTTGGTGTCAGGACGCTGCTATTGTTCATAAACACTGTTCTCCGATGGCGGAGGATAACATGTGTAATTAATAAAAAACACTACTAAAACAATAAGACCTAAGCAAAATAAAACACAGATTTTCAAAACACAGGCAGTAAAAAGCTTACATATCAGGATACAAATAACATCAAACAACAAGTTAAAAGCTGTCCCTTCAGAGCAACTAAGGTGGGTTAAGCACCAAAAGCCTGTCTAAAAAGGTGGGTTAAAAAATCTGAACATCATCTGCATAAAAATTAGACTTCCGGGTTTGCAAGCGAGCAGACATCTTTATTGCTCCTCTTGCCTGTTCTTTACTTCAAGTCTTTGAGCATACTTTACAACTACTAAATGCCCCAAAGAGGGAAAAGAACTAATAAATCAGGAACGACTGAGGATTTGGAGGAAGAAGAAATACAGCGCAAAGCGGCGCAAATAACGGAACGGATGTACATCGCGCTGATGGAACAACAGCGTGAAAGCTTCAAAGGCTTCGTGCAACTAATAATGGAGACAAATAACAGGAGATTAGACGAATTGACCAGAGAAATACAGGAGATAAAAACGAGCTTGCAGTTTACCCAGCGAGAGGTGGATGTGATAAAGACTGCCATGGGTGAACAGAAAATACACGCCAAGGAAGCGAAGGAGGAGGTGTACAGAACGTGTGAGAGTCTAATGACAATAACGGATAGAATGGAGCATTTGGAAGCAAGCACAGTCCAAGCGGAAAAACCTGATCTTTGAGGGAATCATGGAGACAACTGGAGAAAGCTGGTTGGAGGCAGAAGGTAAAGTGAAGGAGATTCTGAAAAATAATCTGCAAATTCA